TAATTTATGCTGAAATTAGTCTGCTTAAATCTCAAGGAAATGTGTGTGTGTGTGTGTGTGTGTGTGTGTGTGTGTGTGTGTGTGTGTGTGTGTGTGCGGGTCCTAGGGCTTGAAGTCGGGTTGGGCACTGTCTCTAAACTTTGTTACTCAAGGCTAGTACTCTATCACTCGCCACGACTCCACTTCCAGCTTTTAGTAGTTAACTGGAGGTAAGAGTCTCACAGACTTTCCTGCCCAGGCTGGTTTCAAACCATGATCTTCACAGGTCTCAGACTTCTAAGTAGCTAGGATAACAGGCATGAGCCACTGCTGCCTAACAAGGGAATTATTTTTTTTAAAGAAGTTCATGAGCGGATTAGTTTCATTTTTCATTAATGATCTGTGGAACACCATAGATGTGAATTATGTCAAATTAGTCTTCTCTCTTCCTGCCAAGATGAAATCTTGGTTCCATGGTAACATTCTATGCAAAATGATGTGATTTTTGTAGAAGGGAAATGTTTTGTGATTTGTTTACAAGTAGCCTTTTTATTTATTTATTTATTTATGGTCCGGTCGTGGGGCCTGAACTTTGGGCCTGGGCGCTGTCCCTCAGCTCTTCAGCTCAAGGCTAGCACTCTACCACTTGAGCCATAGCACCACTTCTGGCTTTTTTCTTTTTGCTTATGTGGTACTGAGGAATCGAACCCAGGGACTCATGCATGCAAGGCAAGCGCTCTACCACGGAGCCACCTTCCCAGCCCCAAACCTTTTTATTTATGACCAATTTTTAGTAGACATTTTTGGTTTCAGTATCCTTTGAGACAAAGTTTTATCTTTTATAACTCAGATCTTACTGGGATCTCTTCACCCACTTTAAGAACAGCTCATCATAGTTCATCCTTGAGTGTGCTTTTTTATTTATTGGTGCTGGATTTCGGCTCTCCTTTAATCTTTAAACTGCCATCTATTGAATATGTGATTGTAACAGCTGCTTTACGTACCTCACCCTAATTAGTGATCATAATAATCAATAGAGATAGCTCTTGTTATCTCACTCCACAGAGAAGTCTGAAGCTGAGAGAAATTGGCTAATTTTCCGTTACTCAGTTCTTTAATTATACAGTCTGGATTTAGACTCAAGTATATCAAACCCATAAGCTCATGTTTTCACAAAGTGCTTATAAACGAATAGGTTTATTTTTCAGTTTAACATGAATCGATTCACTTAATACTGTTTATTTGTGTTTTATTTTATCTACTAGCCTAGAAATTTATTAACTAATACCTTCTACATTTAAATTTTTTTAAAAGATTTAGAATATCACCAGCCTAAAGTACACATTCTTGGACACGACTGTCTTTTCCCACCTTTTAGAAATCTATCTTCTCATTGTTGTACACAGATTGGTGAATTAAACTACTTTCTTCTTACCACGGTTGGACTAGTCAGTGATGGCTGCCTGTAAACCACAAAGTCCAGTCGCATACAGTGATAAGTATTTATTTCTTGGTCATGTGTCTGTAGGTTAGTTGAGTAAGGCTAGGCGTGCTTGGCTTCTGGCCACAAGTTGTTTTGAAATTTCTTTTTGAAGTTAGCAAATGAAAATACAGGCTCCTTAGTTAAGTTTGAATTCAGAGAACCCTCTAATCCTTTTAATAAAAATTATGTCTAGCATCCTGAGGGCATACTTACATTTTAAAAGTAAGTGTTGATTATCTGAAATTAAATGTAGTGAGCTGTCCTATGTTGTAGCTGGCAGCCCTACTTTCTGTTAGGAGAGACATCAGACCCATGGATACTTTTCTGGTCTTTGCTCAGTTGGGAAAGAGTACTTCTAGAGAGGACTCAAAAGAGTAAGTATTAAAAAAGGATAATCTAATTTACTGAAGTAGAAGGGGAGCTAATTGTTTTAGTAACATCTAATGTGAAGCTTAAACACAAATATGTAAAAATCAAAATAGATTATGCCCATGGGTTTCCATTCATAAGGATAATTTCTTTTTTCTCCTTCTCTCCCCCAGGACTGGAGCTGGAACTCACACTCCCTTGGTTTACTTATCCACAACTAGTGCTTTACCCCTTGAACCACACCTTCAGCTCTTTATCTTGATAGTTTGGCGATGGAACCTATCAAACTTTTCTGCCCAGCCTGATTATGATCTGTGGCCCTTCAGGTCTCTGTCTCCTGAGCAGCTGAGATTTTAGGGCATAAGTCACTAAGTGCCTAGCTCTCATGCATATAATTTTTACCCTTTCTCTCTTCCTGATTCACCAAGAACTACCATTGATTAAATAGAAATGTCCTGATTTCTCTATAGGAATTTCTTGTCTATCTTTGATAACTGATATTTGAGTAGGTATTCAAAAATTAAAATATAGTTGAGAAGAAAACTATTTCCTTGCTTAAAAATAAGTATTGATTATTCCAATCACTAATGGAGAAAATTTTCTCTTGGAAAAAAATGTAATTGAAGGACCTAAGTTCAAAACCATCTGGAGTAATTATTTTAGGGGTGCTGGGATTTGAACTCAGAGCCTTGTAGTTTCTAGATGGCTACTTCACAGGCCTTGGGCCTGTGACAAATTTTGAAATAATAAATTTCTGAGTTTAAAAAACAACCATGGTGCCAGAATAAAAAGGAGCATCAGCTGTTAATTTGTCTAGTCTACATCTGACTTGAGACCAGATTGTTTAATCTGTGAGCTGATGTTGCAACTTTAGGTTATGAGTCAGTGACTCAAGGCTAGGATTTTAATACCTTTCTCAAAGATCAAAAAGATATCACTTCAGGACAATTAAATGCTCAGACAACTGGATAGGATCTCCTGTCTGAGAAAGGATAATTGGAAAATTTAAGTCTGCTAAGAGAACTCTTGTTCTTTGGGGAAGGTTGATAGGAAAAAAAAAAAAAAGAAAAAAAGAAAAAAAACCCTATAGGCATATTGAAAACTTAGAGCTAACGTGAGTTTGGAATCTGACTCTAGACTTCTCTGTGATCTGAGAGAATCCCAGGCCAGGATATATACTTGTTTCAGGTCAGAGAAATCTTTATCCTAGCAATAGCAAGCCTAAAATCATCACCAAGAAGAACCAGGGGTGGTCCATTTCCTCATGTGACATGCCATATTTATTCATGGTCTGTAAGGAAGTTGGTTTTGTTATCTTCTTATTTATTTCATTTTTGGCTGTGGAAATGTCTTTGTAATTTTATTTATATTTTATTAATCTATCAATGATTGACATATATGTCTGAATACGAGGACTTCATTCTAGTTGGTTAGTTTGGTGTTATACTAATAGATACGACCTTACCCTTTCATCCAGACAATTGTCTACTACTGGTAACCACATGGCTTATCTAGGTAGTGGTGAGGACATTCTCTAGTGAATGGGAGAGGACTGTGGGTTGTAACTGTTCCATTGGCTTGTGGTGAAAGATGAGCCTTTGCAGGAATGATTACAGAATGTGCCATTTTCAGTACTTTCTTCTAAGTTAAATAGACAGTCTGGGTTCTATATACTTGATGTCAAGTCAGTCGTACAAAATTCATTATTTCCTGAACAATTTTTCAATCTAACAAAATTTTCCGTAGTTTTTTGATAATAGAAGCAGAAACAGTGGCAGTACTACTTCCCTTTCAATGTTTTGACCTCTTTAAAAATGTTTTTTATTATCGTTAAGTTGTACAAATAGTTGCCATTCAACAAATCAATGTATAAGTACAATGCATCTTTAAAAAATAACTTCTTCTTTCCTTTTTATCCACCTTATCAAATTCCCAGCTTGGTATGGGGTGGTGCAGACTCTTTTATTATTAGAAGTGACAATAAGTTTTTTCACAATCCATGGTCAGTTGGTTCCAGATGCTCATGTGGGATCATGTTGAAGTCTAGAACAATCATTCTCCCCATTTTTACTTGTCTTTAATACAGAAAGCCATTAGGACCCTCCCCTCAAACTCTTTCTCTGTAAATAATGGTGGCCAAATCTTTTAGATCATAACTCATAGAGGTGAGAATCTGATTGACTTACATAAATAAATGTTCTTATTTTACAAATAGGTGTGAGGTAGCAAGGATCCTTAGCAAAGCTTCCTTCCTCTTTCGGGCCACAGTGACCTGCAGTATTGCATTTTTTTGGCCTAAAAACTTGCTTTGATCAATAAATCACAGTGAAAATGATGGTATGAGAGATCTAGAGCCTAAGCCTCAAATATTAAAAACTTATCTATGATCTCTTGGAACAATTTCACCCTACAAAGAAGCCTAGGAAATGGAGGGCAAAATTCTTAGCTGGCTATCACAATTGCTATGGTTTAGATACATGAGTTGGACTTTCTTGCCCAGGATAGCTTCAAACCATGATCCTCTAGATCTCAGCCTCCCAAATAGCTAGGATTACAGGTGTGAGCCAAGGCTATCCAGTTCGTACATATTACTTTCACGTTAATATCTTAAGCCATTCCCATTTGATATAATGTTTACTTTTTAAATGATTTCAACATGGTTTAGTCTTCCTGTGTCTTCACGTAAAACACATGTGCTTACTGAAGGACTAATATGATTAGTAAAACAATGAAGAACAGTATCAATAAGTGCTTATGGGATGAAAAGTTTATTAGAAATTGAGAAGCAACAGAACATAAGAAATTTACTGCAGGAGGAAAGATAGAACATAATTGGACCTGAGGGTATAAAATCAGTGCCAAAAACAGAGGCTGAAGTTAGTAACTAACATGTTGGAAAGAGTAATCTAGAGCCCTAGAGTAATAAAGAAGAGCATAGTGAATTTTTTAACTAGTGGATTAAAAATTAGTTCATATTTAGTAGCAATGTTGCAAGATATGCATAGTTAAGGAGAGAGTTTAAAATGGGCTCAAAGAAGCCATGGGTTTGTTGTGGGCTCATTAAAATTATGAAACCCTCCTTCAAAAGACATCAACTGGATTCTTTTGGTCCTAACAAATGAATGGCCTACATCTCTGGGGCAGAAGCAAAGGAGGAGCTGGATCCAGATCAGCAGGCTGAGCAGCAAGGGATGGCACAGCACATGGGGCGGGGGCAGGTGGAGATGACGCAGGTGGGGCGATAGCAAGTGGTGTGGCAGGAGATCTGGCCACACACTGGACGCAGGCAGCAGCAGGGCCGGCAGCAGGGCCGGCAGCAGCTGGAGCCTCCACAGCTGGGGCGGCAGCAGCTGGAGATGCAGCAGCTGGGGCGGCAGCAGGGCTGGCTGCACAGGGACTGGCAGCAGGGCCTGCAGCAGCTGGAGATGCAGCAGCTGGGGCGGCAGCAGGGCTGGCAGCACACGGACTGGCAGGAAGGCCTGCAGCAGCTGGAGATGCAGCAGGTGGGCCGGCAGCAGGTGGGGCGGCAGCAGGGCTGGCAGCACACAGACTGGCAGCAGGGCCTGCAGCAGCTGGACTCACAGCAGCTGGGCTGGCAGCAGGTGGTCCTGCAGCAGGTGGTCTGCAGGCAGCTGGGCTGGCAGCAGCTCTGCTCAGAGCAGGTGGAGCCACAACAGGAGTTGACCATGGTGTCGGAGGATGGAGGTTCTTGGTGTGTTTTCAGGAGAGTGAAGATCGTGAGTTTGGAAGTATTTTGGCCCATGTTCCCTTTTATACCCTGCAGAAGACCTCTTGTGACTATGCGTTATTTCTTGGTTATTATTTACCGTCTTTGAAAACTTAATCATTTAATGACATAATTGAGTTTTTCTAGTGACATATTCCCCCCAAAAGAGATAGAAGGAAATAGCACATTTCCTTTTCCTGGTATGCTATATGTCTCCAGTTGAAGCATTTGTCTTGTTTCTTCATTGGAGTGTGTCACATTTGCCCTGGGCCTATCCAAAAGCTTACAAAACACTTATCACCCGCATCTCTGGTATTTTGTTTTTAAATATGACATTTGCCCTTATCTGCATACTAATGCTTACAAATCATGGAAGATACTTTTTCCTGAATGTTTCTTGGGTTGTCAAAGCATGTTCCATTCAGGTTGAAAAGAATTAGAATGAAAAAACCATAGGAGGAAAATGTCCTGTGTGTTGTGAGCATGGTTGTGATTCTTTGTGGACCTCTTAGATGGTCAGAGAGATGACTGGGTCCAAGGAAGCTCTAAACTTCAGGTCTCATTCCAGAGTCTCAGGCTCTCGCAATGACTCACCACTATAAAGTAATAAAAACATATCTTTTACTCTGTGTCTCTCAGAATAGTCTTTTAAGAGTAGAGAGTTTGACTTTTATTTGTAATTTATTTAAAATTTATAATTATCATTAATATTACTGACAGACTTTCTTTTTTAATTTCTTATTTTTTAAAATTTCTTCTTCTTTTTTGTTTATGTGGTACTGAGGAATTGAACCGAGGGCCTTATGCAATCTAGGCAAGCACTCTACCACTGGGCCACATTCCCAGCCCCTTTTAAAGACTTTTTTTTTGCCAGTCTTGGGGCTTGAATTCAGGGACTGAGCACTGTCCCTGAACTTATTTTGTTCAAGGCTAGTACTCTACCACTTGAGCTGTAGCACCACTTCCAGCCTTTTCTGTGTATGTGGTACTGAGGAATGGAACCCAGGGCTTCATACATGCTAGACAAGCACTCTACCACTAAGCAACATTACCAACCCCTGATAGAGATTTCCTATGTGGCCAAGGCTTATGTCAAATTCATGATCCTCATAAATCAGCCTTCCAAGTGCTGGGATGACAGTTGTGCATCATCAGGCCCAGCTTTAAAGTTTCCTATTTATTTATTTACATATGATAGCACTGGGGCTTGAACCGAGGGCTTCACACTTGCTAAGCAAGCATCCTTCTTAGGCCTTGAGCTGTGCCCTTTTGATTCTGGTTATATGACCGCCTTTTTTAAAAAAAATAAGATTTTTATTGTGAAAATACTGTACAGAGGGGTTACAATCACATGATCAAGGTAATGAGTACATTTCTTATCAAGCATAGTTGCCTCCTCCTTTGTTTTTCCCCTACCATCCCTTCCCTCCCATCTCCACAACTACTTCCCCCCCCCCCGCAGTACCACCCCACCCCCTGCCTAAATTGTAAAGTTCATTTTTCAACATAGCATCTTGTACATCTCATTGTTGCAATGGGTCAACCTGGATCCTTATTTAAACAATTTGTTTTTTTCCCTTCCACTCCTCAAATTATACCAACATCAAATACAGTGAAAATGGGTTATACCATGAGGGAGGGACATACAAAGCAACAAAAAAAATCATGTGGTACCTTATAAATATGTTGGAAACAATAGCAAGAAAGAAAAAACCACTTGTGTCCTTATCTTGGGGTTGATTGCACTTAACATCATCTGACCTTTTCTGCTTGTCTCAGATATATACTAGATATTGCAAATAAGGGAAACCATGGGACCTGTTTCTTTGCACATGGTTTACTTCACTTAATATTTTTTTTCCAAATCTTTCCATTTCCTAACAAATGGGGCAATGTCATTCTTTCTGATGGAGGCATAGAATTCCATTGTGTATGCTTGATAAGAAATGTACTCATTATCTTGCCCATGTAATTGTAACCCCTCTGTACAGTTTTTTCACACAGAAAAAGAATTCCATTGTGTATATATACCACATTTTCTTGATCCAATCATCTACTGTGGGGCATCTGGGTTGGTTCCATATCTTAGCTATGGTAAGTAATGCCACAATAAACATAGTTGTGCTGGTAGCTTTAGTATGGTGTTGTTTGTGATCATTTAGGTAAATGCCCAAAAGTGGGATTACTGAGTCATAGGGGAGCTCTATGTGGAGTCTTTTGAGGAACCTCCATACTGTTTTCCAAAGTGGTTGAACCAGTTTACACTCCCACCAACAATGCAGTAGGTTCCCTTCTGTATGGCCTCATATTTTTGCATGAATGGATTTTCTATTTATGCTTTCAACCATAGCTAGGATCACAGGTACATAGGAACTACCATCTCGGGCCTTGGTTTAGGATTAAAGTGTGGAAAAAGACTTTCTAAGAAAATGAATCCCCAAATCAGGCTGGAGTACCTATACTCAAATGGTAATGTACACCTCAAAATCAAAAGACAAAGAAGGTCACTTCATAATAATAAAGAGAACAAGCTATCCAAAGGAAATAACATTTGTTAACATACATGCTCCAAATATTGGTATGCTCAACTTCATTGAAAGAACAGTACTGGCTTTAATACCATGGACAATGATAGTGGGAGATTTTAAGACCCCACTCTCACCAATAGAGAAGTCACAGATACACCCTCCCCCAATAGTCAACAAAGAAACCTCAGGATTCAGTAACATCATCAGATGGACTTGACATATATTTACATGGCATATCGTCCAGCAGTTTTACAACGCACATTCTTCTCAGTAGCCCATAGAACATCCCCAGTATAGATCATATTTTAGAGCACAGAGAAAGTCTTAGCAAGCATAAGCAAGCTGAAATAACTCCATATATAACATCAGACCATAATATAGTAAAACAGGAAAAGAGACTACAGAAAAATATTCCAACTTACAGAGAGTGAACAATAAATGAATGTATCATTGATGAAACAAGGTGGGAAATCCAAATGTTCCTAGAACTTGATGAAAATGAGAACAAACCAAAAAGAACCTTTGATAAACAGCACAGGCATTGGTAAAGAGGTGCATTTAACAGTTATGAGTGTCTACACTGAATAAATAGCCTTGTCATGTACCCAAAGCGCCTGAAAAACCAAGAAGTAGTCAAATCTAAAGTTAGCAAGTAGAGCAGAGTAATAAAGATTAGGACAAAAGGCAATGAAAATGGAGAATGAAAAAAAATTCTAGAAAGAATCCACAAAACAAAAAGTTAGTTTTTGAAAATATGGTATTTGCAGGAAAGAATTCAAATGGTGTAATTCCTTGGTAGGGGGGAAACAAACTTGACTCACAGTTTGTCAAAATAAATACCAGCAAATTGGCACTTGAAAGATGTGAGGGATGTCAAGGGGAAGGGGAGGTAGGTAGATGAATGAAGAGAGGAAAGGAGGAGAATGGAGTCATAATATTAAATGCACATCATATGAAACTAAGAAAATTGAAGGGAGGGGGTTGGATTGAGAGGGCCGGGGAAGAAAGACCAAAAGGGTGACATTGATCAAGATGCACTGTACTTATAAACTAATTTGTGGAATGGTAACTCCTTTGTACAATTACTTAATAAAATTTTTTTTAAAAGTTGATTCTTTGGAAAGAGAAACAAGATCGATAAGCCCTTGGCCAATCTGGCTAGACTGAGTAGGGAGAAAGACTCAAATTAACATAATGAGAGACAAAAAAATCAATGAAATCCAGAGGATCATGATAAATACTTTGAAAACCTACATTCAAATAAACTTGGAAATCTGGAAGAAATGGATAAATTGCTAGATGCATTTGACCTATCAGAATTGAACCATGAGAATATAAACCACATAAACACATCTACAACAAGCCATATGATTAAAACAGTAAAAAAGTAAGAAAGCAGTAATGAAGAGAGTCCAACAAAGCTCAGGACCATTGGATTCACCGCTGAATTCTAACACTGATACTTCTCAAACTTTCCCATGAAATAGAAAGGGACAGAACACTAGTGAACTCATTTTATGAGGCAAGTACTATACTTATTCTAGAATTGGACAAAGATAACAACAAAAATTAGCCATCTACCAATATCTTTGACGTACTTAGGTGAGGAAATTTTCACAAATTCTCACAAGTGAAATTCAACAAAACATGAGAAATACATCATGATCAAGTTGGTTTTATTCTAGGGATTCAAGGATGGTTCAACACATGAAAATCACTAAATGGGACACATAATGTAAACAGAATCAAAGGAAAAGTCACATGACCATTTCAACTAATGCAGAAAAAGTCATTGGCAAAAGTCAACATCTTTCTGGATAAAAGCTTCAAAGAAACTAAGAACAGAAGAAATGTATCTTAACATAATAAAGGCTGTTTATAACAAATCTATAACTAAAACCATACTAAATTGGGAAAATTGAAATCATTTCCTATAAAGTCAGGCATGAAATATGAGTGTTCACTCTCCCTGCTCTTATTTAATATAAATTTTTTAGCCAAAGGCAAAGAAAGCAGCAAAAGGCTTCAAATAGAAAAAAAGATGTTTACAGATGATATGATTCTATATTTTAAAGAACTTAGTTTCCAAGAAAAAAATACTAAATCTGATAAACGCTTTCAGAAATGTAGTAGGATATAAAAATCAATACTTCAAAACAGTAGATTTCATGTACATCAACAACAAACAGGCTAATGAAGAAATAAGGAAAACAGTTCTTTTTCAATAGCCTCAAAAAATTCCTAAGAAGAAATTTGGCCAACGGTGAAAGACCTCTATGATGAAAATTACTTATGTAACTGAAACCCCTCTGTACATCACTTTGACAATAAAAAATGTTAGAAAAATTGCAAAACTTTGAAGATGAGAAGACCTCTCAGGTTTATAGATTGATAGATTTAATTTTCTGAAAATGGCTATGCTATCAAAAATAA